GTCATTCACCACACGTGTAATTACTGCAGGGTAAATTTGGGATCCCTTGAGAGTCACTGGCAGGAGCTGTGGTTCCATAATGGGACTGAACGCTCAGCTGGTGGGTGTGTTTTGTGTCCGCTATAGACACGTAGGCAGTAATAACTGCCTCAGTTCTCTGACAGAAGTTTTTAGGCTGCTCTTGTTTTCTGAGAGGAAAATATTTTGGTGAAAGTAAGAGTTTTGATGAAATTAATATAGTTTTTAACTGTGCTAGATTCATTTGAAAGCAAAGGGTAAAAACTACTTGGGTAGTTTGGGTTTGGGGTTTTTTTTCCTGTTGGATAAAAGAAAACAGAAGGAAATGTGAAAGAAGGAGTGAAAGTGAAAGAAGGGTGCAAGAGGAAAACACTTTAATTTTTATAAAAATCTGTTTTCTTTTAGCCTAGGGCACCAACACTAGAAGACAATATAACTTTCATTTGTTTGGTGGGTTTGATTTATTTTTTTTTTAATTTTTTTATTTTTTCCCACCCAAATGATTAATTTAAAACAGTCCAGTTTGGATTCTAAACTCTTTTGGTAGTTTTTTCAGAATTATGAAACAGTTCATAAGGGAAGTTGATACTTTGGTCTGTTGTTTTGTCATATAAAAACATGCCACAGGGGACGGTTCTGAGGTTGGCAGAGGGTTTAGTCATTCAGCTCATGTCAGGTGTACTTGAGAAAGTAAGATGAGTCAGCTGTTACCTCGGTCACTTGAAACTGGTTTCCTTAGAGTAGAAGACACCCTAAAGGAAAAAAAATCTAAAGCTGCTGGCAAGGCAAATGGTCCAACAGTTTTGGTCTCACCTCTGTTTTCTGTAATCTGCTCTCATTCAGTGGTGGGTGGACACTTATCATGGTTTGACATGTATAGACCAGTCACTGATTGTCACATAATTTGGTAATGACCAGCTGATAACTTCCCTGTGCAGAGAAACCTTTATTGAAGGAGAGAAATAGAACCTCCTTTCTTCTGCTCCTCCTAAGGCAGATTCTGTCACCCCCTTCAGAAGAGTGGCTTTCAGTACATTAATTTGTCTTTTCACACAGCACAAGCTGCTCTAGAAAGGCACTTCTGTGCTGGAAGAAGAATGTCTGTACCCAGGTACTGATAGAAAGTATGTGTTTAAATTTGTGTCTTAGATCACAATGGGAAACTGATTTCTTAGGGTAAAAAAGCTCCCATTTCATGGTACAGCAGAGTTTAGGAATGTGAAGAGATTAGGCAGGAGATGTTTCTAGTGCCTGAAACTGCCATCTCAGAGGCCTGTATTCTATTTCTGGCTTTGCTAGAGCTTTGTTACATGTCTGTAGGAAAATCATTTGCCCAGGGTAAGCAATGCTTTGCTGCCTTGGTTTGTGTAAACAAGAGTTGGATACAGCAGCAAAAGGTGAGGTATTTTATACTTATATTAAACATTTACTGTACTGTGGAGTGTCATTATGGAAACACAGCAATACAGATGCTGAGTAGAGGCTGGCCTTGGTATGGAAATGCTCAGGAAAAAAAGTGGCTTGTTCTATTTCCTGAATGTACAACTTTTTTGTCTGAGTGAGTCAAAGATGAATTGACCATCTCTAATTTATTTCTACTTTCACTTATCACCATAAGTAAAATCACCACCTGACTAGAGAAAAAAAAATAACGAAGGCTCTCATTCCTCCTTTGATGTTCTTGTGCTCTGTACTTGCAAACGGAGTCCAACAAAACTTGTAGTCTAAAAAAATCTTTGGAAGTGAAATCACCTTGATTTCCTAAGTTCAGTGTATAATATTTATGGAGTGTTATGTTCCTGCTGGTGAATGGCATTTTTATTTCGGGTGGATTTGAAGTGTGTGAAGGTTGTCTGTTGTTGGCCTATCCCCCTTGTGCTGTGTATTTGCTAATGGCAATTGTTTTGGGTCATCAAGTGTGTGATCTATTTTGGGCATCTGCTAACTGTGGCTGTTGGGTGAAAGCCAGGGAGAGATGTCTGTGGAAGGCAGGACTGGATAACGGGAGTGAGGGACGTGGCAAACACCAACACACCAGAGGTGCCCCTGGGGGGTCTGAACACTTTGCAGCAGTTTTGCCTTCAGCCTTCAGAAACAAGGCTCTAGGCTGAAAAGGGTGCAAGTTAAAAGATCAGTAAAAGGGATTAGAATTGTTTGGTTATCTTTGAGATAATATTGCATGAGTTCTGTGCACCTGCAGAATTTGCTTTGTTCTTTGGAGGGTGCTGGGAGAGGAGTGAACTTGTCAATCAAACATAAAAGTGACTCTGTTCCCAGAGGCATTTTGGGTGGGTTCCCCACTCTCAAAGCAATGTTTTTAACTTGCTCTTCTGAATGGCAATGAACTCTCTCTGAAAACAATTATTTTTTAGGTGTGTTTGCATTGATGTTGTTTTTAACCATGTACCTGGGATTCTGATGAGGGGAGTAGTCAGCTTGAGGGATTTACCATCTTTGGGCAAGTCTCAGCAGTGTCTCTTCATACCTGGGCATTTTCCTGCACTGGACTTTTGCAGTTCAGAACTTAATTTTGCAGTTCAAAAGGTTTGGGGTTTTAAGCAAGGCTTGGTATTGTCCTTTGTTTGCTTTTTTGAAGTCTGTGAGGGCTGAACTGGTTTTTCACCAACACCTCAGAAAATTCTGCTCTGAACAATTTTAAGCAGCATCAGACAAACTTAATAAGGAGCCAATAGCTCAGAAGTGTCCTCGTTCTTGTAAATGCTGCTAAAACATTTATTGAGTCTGGTTTCAAGCCCTGGGCAATATTGGTCAATGAGCTTTCTGTGAAATTATGAAAGATTGCTTGAAGAATACAGTAATTTGCATACAAAGTGCAGTTTATTTTCATTGAGAAGAAAAATAGACCTTTTTGTCCCGGGCATGAATGTGGCTTTGGGAAGGAAATTAATGAGCGGAGTAACAGAACAGCTCACCCGGCTTCGCCTTGACAAACTGAAAATACAAAGGCAGAAAATGGCTGAGAAAGTATTGGGGTGGAAAGTGGAAGTGGAAAGAAATAACCCACGTTGTAACACATCATTCTCACCACTGACAAGTGTTGGTTTCTGCAGTGTATTTTAATGGTGGGATGGTTATTCTGGGCTTCTGTGTCACAACCAGTGTGGTTTCTCTCTGATGGAAACAGGTACCACTTCTCAGCCTGTGTGCTTTGTAATTAGTGCTCACTGCCTAATAAGGGGACATCTGATTTTGTTGATACCCCTTTGCTTATTGCTGCTGTTTTTTGAAAGAGTGAAAGTAATTCCCAACTCCTGTCAATGTAAGCATTGATGTAGTAGCCCTTCTGCTTGAAATAAAGCAGTCGAATAGTTTTCCTCCTAGGTTTTGCTAACATCAACAAAAATATGTGTAGAAGCACTAAGAGACTATTTCTGTTCCTTTGAAGCAATAGAAGGAGCATATTTGGAAAAGAATTGAATTGACACTCAACATTCCACCCCTGTGTTAGAAGTGAATGGTTTATAGAAAGGGTGGGGGCACACAAAGCAGCCAGTCCTTTTGCTGAGGTGAGTGCATGACAAAAAGTGGGTGCATTTTGGTGAGCTGTTGAATTTTTACAAAGTATTTGCTGCTTATGAGATATGCTTTTGTCAGAGAAAAATCTTCAAATTATGTGCATTTCAAGTTGACAGGAATACTGCAGTTGCTCTTTGGTGCTTAGTCCTGTTCTGTAATAAGTCTGCTGATCTATCAAAACAGCTGAATCTTCTTGCAACACTGAGTTGAGCTTATTTCTAAAGGATCAAAATAGAGCTTTATTTTGTAGTGAAATATGCTTCACAGTTTGCCCCAGTGGGATGCCAACCACTGCTATTTAAAAACATGCAGGAGCTGTGTAGAAATATAGAACCTGGAAGTCCCCAGTGCATCTGAAGCAAGAAGCATCTGGGATTCATACAGAAAAGCACATTACATGGACAAGTACAGATATAGTGCTGAAGCCTAGAGATGTGTGAGAATCACTGCATGGCTCAATGTAGTTAGATTTTGTCGTGATGCTTGGAGGCCTCACAGCTATTTTATGTGTTCTGATCTGAATAGTGGACGTTGTTTGGGCTGTTGGGGATGATGCCAGTGTTCATCTACACAGGGAACATCAAACATGTCCTAACCCGACCGGTTATTCTGTTCAGATCTATTCTGTCACCATAACTTGTGTTGCTGTGGAGGTGTGTCCCAAGCAATAATGTGATTTCTGATCATCTTCCCATCCCAAAGCAGCCCAGCATAATGCACTCACAGATGCTCAAATGCACCAAGGAGAGGTTTGTCTTTCCAGACCCCACCGAGCTTATCAGCTTAAAAGATTGTGGTCAGGAAACAATTGCACAGACCATGCAGAGTAACAAGTGCTGCTTGTGTTCTCCTCATCTGAAACATCCAGTGTGTGGGGAAGGATGTGCTGAAAGCTCTGTAGATGGGATCCCAAAGCCTTTTCCCAGCAGCAGCTCAGCTGTCTGTTTGCTGTCCTGCCTGTGTGCCCCAGGAGCTCTGCCTGACCTGAGCAAAAGGAAGCTCTGCCTGGTGCTCTGCCTGGCTCGGGATCTGCCTGCTGACACTTTATTGAAGGAGCCTGTAATGCTGATTCTCATGCTGGCTCTCTTTAGTGTAGTGTAGAGGCTTTATTGTCCATAAGTTTGTCAAATTATGAATTAATTGCTTTGCTTTCATCACATTTGTGTTTCAGGGTGTGTTCTGTTCTTCTGGTTCAGTATGTGCTCGGGTACATCAGTGAGGGCCAGGAATCACCTTCACTTAAGGGTGCTCACCTCTTTCCAGGTTTGAACCCTCACTGTTTGGCTGAGACTGCTAAATTAATTATTTTGATTGATCAGTGGTGACTTTGGCCATGAATGAGCTGCAGTGGATCCAAAGTGACTATACCAAAGTGTGTGTTACTGACACTTGGCCTCTTGGAAGACCCTAATGAATGTCACTCTTTATTAATATTCCAGCTGCATCACCTTTGAGCATCAATGAAAGACCAGGCATGGCTTTCTTCAAGCAGCAGAAGGTGGAGGACGTTTATGACATTGGGGAAGAGCTGGGAAGGTAAGGATGCACTGCTGACACCAGATGATTGTAAAAGCTGCCACGGGGGATATTTGCCATGTATCTTCAAACTGTGACTCTGCATGCTAGCCTAAATCAGTCACAGTACACAACACAAACACAACCCCTGACCAAAACTGCACTTTGGATATTTTAGGGTTTTTTTAGTTGAAGTGTGCTAACTGTGTTTCCTGTTTCTTTTTTTGCAACTAGGACAACAAAAGGTATGTTCACACTGTCTTTCTTAGATAGGTGTCTGTGTCTGTGCTGTAGACTGAGTTCACCTGAGCCAGCTGGGGAACAGGAACATCCCGTGCTGTTGTCACAGAGACAGCACTTGATTTTGTCTGGTTCTGGCCAGCCCTGCTCAGCACTGTGACACAACACATCCATACCTGCCTGCAAAACACTGTGCTTGTGTTCCTGAAAAGATTTACCTGTCGGGATTTCAGCTGGACTGGTTAATGCCTCTGTATAGCTTTTCATCCATAAAAGCTAATCTGCAGGTATTAATTACAGCTGTAATTACCACCTGTAATCATGCTTCACCATAAGCACCTGCTGAAACACTGCTGGGTGTGTGGGCTGGACACACAGGGTTCCCCCAGCCCTAAGTAACATGCAGAGCTCTGGGTGAGGAGAGCTGCTGTCCAGCCCTCTAGTGTTTTCCTTTTTAATATGTAAATAGCTAAATTAGGGCTATAGACACGTTGGCTTCTTTCCCAATGTCTGGCAGTTGGTTTTGATAAATAACTGTGTATGTGCAATTACCCTTTTTCAAGGGCCAATAATTTAGTTCCATTAAAACACTTCAGTTGAAGCTGTTTGCCTGCCAAATCTTTTTTTTTTTCACTCTCAGCTGTTTCACCTTTAGAGTTGGTGAGAAAAACTTCTTTTAAGGGGAATGGGGTTCGTTTGGTTGTTTGTTTTCCATTCCCTTCCCTCTCAGGAAGGCCTTGACTATTAACTTTTCTGTACTTGTTTACTTTTGAGTAATGACTAGCACTGAGAGTATCAGTCTGACAGTGCAAACCTGACCACAGTGAACTGTGTAGGAATTCAGTGTGTGTGTGTGCAGGGTGTAATTGCTGTGGTTTTTTAACCTAGGAGGCCCTAGTATGTGCTGGAACAGTCAAAGTGCCAAAGGGAGAGACTGGAGACTGAGTAGCTTAATTTTAATTTGGTTTCCGAATTGGATTTGGGAATCTTTTGAGATGATGAACGTCACTCTCCTCTTCAAGCTGATGGATATTTGGCACTCTGAATGGAGGGGTTGTTGAAGCAATGTGGTAGAGGCTGGCCATTGCTGTTGAATCACCCTGAGAGGCCTCAGGCTGTGTGGTCAGAGCAGCCCTCCTCCTCCCCTGGCTGCAGGTACAATGTCACACTGTCTTTGGCAGTGTCTTTTCACTTTCACGTGTGAGGAGCTCTGCAGAGCTCTTGTTTCAGCTCTGTGTTAAATGTGAAGTGTCACCTGGTTCATCATACCTGTATATCTCTGAGCAGGAACTACTGATAAGGGCCAGTGATAAATGATATCTTGCTTTATTAGAAGCAGAATAACATGCTGGACAGATTGCAGTGGCTGATGTGTTCCACTGCTGACTGATGCCCTTAGAACCTGGGGATGCCTTTTATTAGTTCACTGTGTTTGCAACAAGCTGTTGGTTGCTGGCAGGTAAAAGGGCTCCTTTCTTGTAATTTTGGCAGCAGGAGTCACTTACAAAACTAAGGTTTCCAAACACCGTCTGTGAAGAGTCTGTCCTGTTCTCGTCCTCCTGAGCCTGTGACTTCTTGAGAGCAAAAGTAGTTGTTAATACAGGACTAAATCCTTCTTCTGGCTCAGCCATAAGATGGAATGGAGGATGTCACTGCCAGAGCCAGCACCTGCTTGACTATTTGCACAGCACCAGGGAAGGGATGCCCCCTTTGCACAGCAAATGCTGCTTCCCAGGGCTGAGCTGGGTCTGGGCTGGTGGTGACATGAGACATTCCTGTCCTAGGGCAGCAAAGGCTCCTCAGCCCCCACTGTGCAAACCCTGCAAACAGCATTTGTGACTCCTCAGCCAGACCACACTCACAGTCCCTGCTGGGCTGGCAGCAGCTCAGAGGGTGCTCTGAGGGCAGTTGTGTCCCGAGCCCGGGCAGTGGTGTGAGAGCAGCCCCTCTGCAGGAAGGGGGAGCAGGTTTTCCATAGCTGCAGCTGCACGTGGAACTCCCTGCTTGGCTCCAACGTTCCCTCAGTCTTTCAAATATTAATCTTAGGTTTACAGCTCTGTTGCTCAATTTCTCCAAAGGGTAAACGCAGGGAACGATGAGTCAGGCACTTGGTGTTGGAGACAAGTTGCTGATGGCCTTGTCCCTTGTAGCAGCTGAATGTGTGCAATACTTGAAATACACACATATAACCAAGTCACTTCCCCGATATCAGCCAGTTTGCAAGTCTGAACTCTGTGTGGACTGAGGTTCTCTAGCCACAGCTGAAAGGGAACCTAAAAAGAGGAGCCTATAAAATGAATTTAGCACATTGTTTCCACATCGTAAGCAAATAATACAGCTTACTGCTAGGATATTCAAATATTAATTTTTTTCTTTGTCAAAATTGATGGCAAGCAAAGGAGAGAGTTTAGGAAACTTATTTGAAAATGAATATGTATGAGGATTTATTTAAAAAGCCCTCAGTTTTACTAGGCTGGCAGTCTAGAAGAGGTAGAAAGCAACGTGGACTGAAGTGATCAGTGCCTGCAGAGGTATTAGGAGATTGTCTTCTCTCTCCCCCTCTCCCAAGGGTGCTAGATAGTGTGATCTGGGAGTACCTTTTTTAGTCCTCCCCAGCATTTAATGCTGTCACTCTTTGCAGGCGTCAGACTCTCTGGCAGATTGAGTTTTTCTGTGCCTGAGCTGTTGACCAAAAATAGATGCTTCAAAACTTATTTTTCACAGAATGTTTTCAATATGGATCCCTTTGTAAATGTGACTTTGTGTTGCTAAACGCCTGTTTTATTCAAGTAACGAAAAACTGCATCCTTTAATTTTGATTTTAATAAACTTTGTGAGAAACATTAACAGATTTGCCTGTTTTGAGCAGGATCCTGGTCTAAGCCCTTTGCAGGAACGTTGCAGCAGATCGTTCTTAATTTATAAAAGGCTGTACCACAGAGCCATTAATCTCTTTCCTAAATGTGTTGCCAGCCAGGCTGTGAGAGCTGTTGACATTTGTGCCTCCTGGGCAGTGTCACTGTTACAGGTCTGAGGGTGGGAAGTGCCACGGAGCTGTCCCAAAGTGTTCTGTGCCAGTGCCCACTGAGAAGGTGTGTCCCTGCAGGGAGGTGTGAGGGTGGCAGTGTCCTGGGGCAGTGTCCTGCTCCCTGCAGCTCAGCTCTGCAGCGTGGGAGGGCTCACACTGAACAGAGGCACTCCACAAACCCCAGAGGGATGTTTGTGGGCATGGAAGTCTCCCCTCTTCACTGTGGGAAGGAGCTCTGCCTTCCTCCAGCATGGGCCAGCCTTTCCAGTTGCCACTCCAGTCTCTGGCCTCTCTTACTGACTGGGAGCTGTGCTTATCCCTCATTCCTGGTTCAGTCAATGCCTTCATGCCAAAGATAATCACTGGGATTTCTCTTGGTTAGTTTGGGCATAATCAAGTCTTCCTTTCTCAGCCCCTGCAGAGTGAGGCTGAGAGAAAGATAAAGCCAAGCTCAATCTTTCATCAATGGCTCATCATCCCTCCTGTAGTCCCCCCTCTCCAGCTACAGATTCCTACCTCCTCCTTGCCTTGAGACAGGGAAACCCTTTCTTCTGGGTGAAGCCTTAAAGGACAGCGAATAAAACATTTCACCAGTGGTGATGGGACCTTGGAGCCTGCCACACAATCACTGTTCTGACAGGGGAACTACCAAATATTTATTTATGTTGTGAAAACAAAAAGCAGAGATAACTTGTAGGGGAAGAACTTGGAAATCCATGATAAAAAGCCATGTCACCCAGCTAGTTGGACTCCCCCTGTAAACACAGGGGTGTGATTGCAGCTGGGAAATTTTCCCTTAACACACCAGGCAGGATCTTCATACCAGGCATTGTTTTCTATCTATAGAAATTGTTCAGTATTGTGCTTTCTCAGACCTTAACTCTGTTCTTAGATTAATTTGTACTTTAAATTAATTCTTTAAATTTTGAAGAATAACCTCGGATTATTTTATCCTACAACACACACAAAGCAAGTCTTTGCATTAGATGCAAAATGTAAATTTAGTTCTTGAGGACTAACCAGCACCTCTCTTAATGTTCCTTGTTACAAATCTTCTAAGTCATCTGTTTCATGGATAATGAATCTTCTGCTGAAGCAGTTCTGGCATGCAGTACTTGGTCAGGATCACTGTGATTGTAATCAGCTCTCTGAAACAGTTGCTGGTTTTGGACTTTTTCTTTTTATATTCTTTATATTCTCAGAGTAAGTGCTCTTAGCTTATTCCTTTTTTAAACAGATTTCCCTCTTAATTTTCAATGTTACTTTAACTATTTCCGAAATATTTTGATTTGTCACGGAAAGTGCAGAGAAAATGGGAGGTTTTGTTGCTTAGATTTTTTTCTAAAACAAAGCTGCTCTGCCTACAGTAACTGAAAAGATCTGGCCTTGGTGATTTAGACCTGGCCTTGGCCTTACTTTGTAACAAAGTCGTGCATTCCTTATCACCAGCATCCACCTTGATGATGGAAGTGATCTCAGTGTATTGCCTTAGTCCATGTCTGGCTTTGAAAGTATAAATAGAGGTGAGTGACCTCCTTGGTAGTGCTCAGGAAGCTCAAATTCTGTAATGTCTTTAACTCTGAATATTAAGCAGAATATTAACCCCAGGAAAAAGCACTGAAGACTAATTCCAGAAAAAAACACTGAATTTTAACCCATCTTTGCCTTGCCATTTTTGTGAAAACGAAACCATTTTTTCTGGTTTGCACTGAGGGAGAAATCAGATGGAAATTTGAACAGCTGAGAGAATAGA